TCTTGCTTAAGTGAATTGAGTGTGTCTTGGGATATCTTAAAATTCAAGGTAGTTCACGCATCCACATCATCTAAATAAGTGCGTGCCTTGCTTTTATCCCTAAAATGTATCTCCATCCTATTCATTAAAGGGAATCTGTAGTGTTAGGAATATTCATATGTATTCCTAACACTAGTGCCCTGTGGTTTCTCCCATCCATTGCAGCACCCCTAGCAGCACCTTTTATTCACCTATAATACCTTTTATTTACTCACATGATTTCATTGCCGATATCTCTTGGCACTAGGTCAGCCATTCGCCTCTCCTGAGTGGAGACCCAATGCACATGTTTGGCGAGCGCATTACGCTCTCCCCATAGGAAGCATCCCCTATGGAGATTTCACTAACGCATGCACAGCGTGAAGACGCCCTTCGTCATTTAGGTGACCCAGAGTCGGGTGAACTCCCAGAAGTGCCTCTAATGACTGTCTGGTAGACGGCCACAAGAGTCTGTCTTGGTATTGCAATTAAAGGTTGCAGTTTCTCAAAAACCTGCAGTGTTTTACATTGAGGTCTTAGGGAGGCAGGGACACTGCACCCAGACTAATTCAGTGAGATGGTCATTTGGGTGCCTATAATATCTATTTAATATATTCGGTTAGCCAGTTTGAATCCTTTCTCCTCGCCTCTTTCCTTGTGAATGTACTAGAAGTTACTATTTGAAGTTAGCTTTGTTTTGAAATTGGAGTTTAACACTTTTAATTTCCTGTCTGTTTCAAGAGTTTTCCTTTTTTCTATGTGAGTTTCACACCGCGTGTGCATCATAGCAAACCATCACAAGTTTTTTTGTTTTTTTTTTCTTTATATTCCCTCTCCTCTTACAGATAACCTGCAACTGAAGCTTAGCCAGTTCCTTCCCAGACTTTTGGACTGTTCTGCTGAAAAGATTGTGCTTAAGGAGCCACCAAAGATCCGACCTCACTCTCCATACGACCTATGCAGTCGCTTCACAGCCGTTATGGAGTCAATTCAGGGTGCTTCTGCTGTCACAGTGACATAGGATTGGGCATTTCCCCTTTGTATTACAGGCATTGCATTAAAATGCTAAGAAAAGGACAACACCTTGCACAGAACAAATTCACTCTAATATGAAGAGCAGGTTTTTATTAATGCAGGTTTTTGTACACTCAAGCCAGAGACAAACAGGGAACTGCCTTGTCCTGTGTCATCCGCTTTATTTTGAAGTCTTTTGTCTTTTTGCCTTTTTGAACACCACTATTTTGGTACCACTGATCTACCATTATTGTATACCACTTTTTTCTATAGGCAGCTGTGCTAACTGCTGGTTAGTTGTGTGCAGCTCAGGCTTTACTGCTTATTCTTCCAGTATGAGAGACTTGCATCGCATTGCTCTTGTGTGAAAAGGGCTTAGCAGCCATTACCACAGTAACAAAGAAGGTGTGTGGTGTTTTTTTGTTTTTGTGGAGGAATGGTTTTGGAGTCTCACTGCCTAATGTTATGGAACTTGATGCACAAAGCACATGTCTAAAGGATGTATAATTTGAGTTCAGTTTAAGGGTAATTATCGTGACGCGTATATATTTATATGTACACTCACATGACATCTGTATTTAAGCTAAGCGTTAAACATTGCATAATTGGGCATTTTCAGAACCATTCATCTCCAAATTATGACTCCAATGCCTATTAAAACGCCAGATTGTTTACAGTATTTATTTAGGTTTTATGTACGTGTATTAATACACTGTTCATTTTCATAAACCCAGCATATAAAAAGTCGTGCATCATTCTGGAGGGCACAGTAGAAACATCTTCCTCTTGTGTAGATAAAGAGTACTTTTTTGTTTTTTAAATATAAGTAATGGGCTATAAATACTATACATATATCCATATCTCTTGCCAAACAACTGACTGGGTAATGTAGAATTTTTAGCCTGTGACTGATGGGTATTTCTGAACAATCACACAAGCAGCTGTACAATTAGATTCAAAAGGAAAAGAAGGAAGAAAAAGACTAGTATAAGAAGCCAAACACCATTGGGATTTGGCAAGGAGGGCACACTATTTTGGCTTTTTTTTTTTTTTTTTTATCTGTGAAAACTGGTATCTCGGATACGTTCTGGCATCCTGTTGCCATGGGTAAAAAAAAGAGTGTGTGTATGTGTACTATAAAGATTAATGCTTATTTATACTTCCATTTCTTATTTTAGAGACATTGGTTTCATTTTATTTCCAAAAAGTAAATGTGAGTCAACGTTACTGTGCTCTGCAAAATGCGCGGATGCCCTTGCCAATGTTGACACCAACTGTGCCAAACAAAACTTTCTACAGCCTATAATGAGCATGTGTGATCTATACCCTTCCTCGTTTAGTTTTAAATACGGGTGGTACCCTTTAGAGTGGTATGAAGAAAGCTACATCTTTAAACCATTGTTACTAAAGTAATTGAACTGTTTTTTTATGTGCAATAAAATATTTATGTTTTTATCTTAATTTGCAGTCTGTCAGCTTGCTTTCAGATGGACTTAATCTAGTGCTTGCCATTTGTGGATTAATCTTGTTACTTATGTCTATTGGTGTAAAGAACAGGGTAAATGCTATTTAATAGATCATCTCCTTGTTCAAGGGTACCTATAATCCCAAAAATAACAATGGTTATTTGAGAGTATAGGTTACCTTATAGGGTTAGGATCACTGTTCACCCATTTTGCTTGGTAAAATTACATTAACGTTTACTCAGTTTCCCGCACCAGAACTCCTCCATTGCGGTAAACAAAGTGCAGGATTACTTCTTAAACCTGACTTTGGCTATGGAATTCAAATGAGCCTATCACAATGGCAATACGGCTGTTACATACAATGTCATTGGCTCCTTCCTGGCCAATGTTTTAAAGTATTTTTCAATATGGCCTCTCTGTACCTTGCTCAAAGTGACACTATGATTCCAGCTTGCTAGGTGCAATCCTTCTTGTCTCAAAGTTTGTGTAATCCGTAATGGTACGAATACCACAAAACAAAACTGCAATTACTGGCTCTACTCCCTCTGTTATGAGGACGTGCCAGTCACAAAAAATGGAACGTGTTCTATATATATTTTTCTTTTCTAGTAGTTTTTTCATAATGTATACGTGTTTGGTGCAGTTAAACATTTTATGTGGAATAAAGAAGTGCTACAATTTATGGAGAACTGCCGTCTATTACAGCGGCGATACCATGTAAACTGCTGTTATAGTGCAGGTTTTCTTGCACCTCGCTGCTGCCGGGATAATTGCAATTCTAATACCCGGTAATGAAACTGTGGGAGTAGCTCAGAGAATGCTGCTCTGAACGGTTATTGCCATTTTGTTTCTGTGTATCGAACCAACATTAGCAACATTGAGGACTGTGCAAACTTTGTGGGTGAGACAGATCTATCTGCCTCCCTGCTATTACGAGAATTACACCTTTAACTCTCATAACTTGAACACAGGGTACAGCATAGAGCACAGGGCACTTGTCCAGTCATCAAGGGGAATGTGATTTATGAATAATCTACAATGCTTCTGTGGACTCTCTTCATCTGTCTAACTGAAGTGTTTTTACTCTAATCTTACTTGTATTAGGATCTTATTATCTGTAGAAATTGGGTTAACCATTACTGCTTTATTTGGACCAAATGCATGATGAAATGACTAAACCAATCAGGAGTAAGCAGGAGATAGATGTATGTTTAGTTTTTCGAACTTGGTCCCAGTGGTTGTTTAGTTTATTTTGCTACTTTTTGATATTTTGAATTCTAAGCTGGATTCCGATCTGTATACATGGCTTTGTCACTGTAATATTGTTTTAAATACAAAAACATTATTCTATGGCTCACCAAATCATGCATTATCTATTTGCAGAGGTGCAAAAGCGGAAAATGACCAACATTTATACATAAAGGGGTTCAGTACTCTGTAAAGCTTGTATTATGTATTAACTTTGGTCATTTTAGACACTAGCAGCATCACAACTAAACAATGCATCTATTTAAGGAGCAGCTCATCCACAGTAAGTGACTTAAATTGTAAAGCATTTAAATTGTGAGTTGCGTGGAGCAGATATGCAGTGATGCAAGCAAGTTTGCATTATATATTTTCTCTTGAGTTAAAATGGGCTCACGGATATTTGGGTAATCTGTAAAAAGTAGTTGGTTGCAAAACAATGTGGCTTATATGGTGTGACAAAATATCCATGTATTGAATGAGGCACGAATGAAAACACTCTTCCGGAACAGGTAATTAAAATTTCAAAAAAATATTTATTTTTTATCTCCATACCAAAGACTAGAAAATGAATAACCAGAATTAAAGCAGCCAAACGTGTTTAATTTAGTCCTATGAATAGGGTTAACCTGTTCTGAAACATGTTAGATGGTCTTAGCTCTGGCTATTCAATACTTAACGCTAAACAGATAAGGGGAACAAAGATCCTTTTGCTGCCATTTTTTATGTTTTGGGGCTTTTAAATATTTGCTTTTAGAAAGTACAAAAAAATAGAACTTGGAAGGTACCACATTAATATATTTTACCATTATATAAAAGTACAGCATCATAACATTTGTAAACATTTCATTAAATAAAGTAAGAAAGAGCATCACACGTAAAACGGGAGTAATGAACTGCAGCAACAGATTTAGGAGAAGAAAATGGAGTTTGGCATTTAAATGGCTGCATGATGAAATTTAGCTGGCAATATTCCATCTCTGTGTAATAATACAGATGGAGGGGTGTGGATAAACAATTTTGAGCACATCCTGTAAGGGCAACACACGACTTCATTAAATGTTTATTAATATCTCAACTCTAAAAATAGTATGTTTTTATTATTTATTTATTTTGCTTCAAGACTGTTGCAGACATATCAGTATAATGGTTATTAAAACATTATGTGAAATTAACATAGAAATGAACATGTCAATAGTTGCCTGTATTGCTAATGGTTAGTTTTAACCCTACATCGTGGTAGTAAATGTTCAATATTTCTCCTTTACAGTTATCTAAAACAAGTTCTTGGTTCTGTGTCTGGAATTGAGTGTGATGTTTCCTTGCAATCAAGAATTGTGGCATCATGAGCCAATTTTTCCGTTCCCCCATGATGCTTGAATGCACTTTAATATGTTAAAATAATTTGGCACGCAGCAAAAGGTTTGACTAGTTTTAGTCAAAGTATATCTTCTTTCTTTATAGTTTTTCGTCAGTTCTTCTTTGCTGTTTGATACCATTATTTTATTGCTGGTCTATTTCAACAGGAAATTCTTTCCTTGTCCAGTTGTCAGCTGTGTGACAAGATGGCTTTTCTTCTAGCCATAGGCGTATTCACTTGTCCAGTCATTTCCCCAGTTAATCATCCAACAATTAGCAATCCACAGTCATCATCTGCAACATTAGTGCGGCAGTCACCTTTTTCTGCATTACCAATTCCAATAATTCGGAGTTCATCTAATGAAGCTCTCAATGCAGTCAGTCTGTTTAATACAGCAGGATGTTTCTCGGCATTAGTGCTATGGTAATAGCGTTTCCCCTCTTATAGTAATCTCTTAATTCTTTCGCAATGAAAACAGTTTGTTCTACTCAGAGATTCTAATCTGGAATAGTGAAACGCGTGTTTGTCATAAAAACAGGCATTTTCGCTTATATAATCTGTACATTTTCTGCCTGTACAAATTATATAAGAGAAACTAGCAATGTTCATTACAGCAAGGTCATGTTCACTATACTTGTACACAAATGTTTTCAGCTGGGACAAACAAATCAAATGATTCCTCATCTGCTCTCTAACAAATTGATCCGTCTAGGATTTACCTGTGTAATCCTTAAATAAGGCTTCACAGGTAAATTCTGTACTGGTCTGTTTGTTTAGGCGCAGATTAAAAGGCATTTGTTTTGTTCGTCCCAGCTGAAAATAATTTGTGCACGTCTGTTAAAGGACAACTATAGTGCCAGGAAAACATACTCGTTTTCTTGGCACTATAGTGCCCTGAGGGTGCCCCCACCCTCAGGGTCCCCCTCCCGCCTGGCTCTGGGGAGAGGAAGGGGTTAAAACTTATCTTTTTTTCCAGCGCCGGCGGGGAGCTCTCCTCCTCCTCTCCGCCTCCTCTCCTCCCTTTCGGCTGAATGCGCACGCAGGGCAAGAGCTGCGCGCGCATTCAGCCAGTCTCATAGGAAAGCATTCATAATGCTTTCCTGTGGACGCTGGCGTCTTCTCACTGTGATTTTCACAGTGAGAATCACGCAAGCACCTCTAGCGGCTGTCAATGAGACAGCCACTAGAGGATGGAGGCTGGATTAACCCTAACATAAACATAGCAGTTTCTCTGAAACTGCTATGTTTATTAAAAAAAAGGGTTAACCCTGGCTGGACCTGGCACCCAGACCACTTCATTAAGCTGAAGTGGTCTGGGTGCATAGAGTGGTCCTTTAATCATAAGGTATAATGAGGATTAAATACAAACCATTATTTTATGTATTTGTACATATTATCCCTCTGTTCTACCCCATCTGTTCCCATTACCTGATCAGAATACATTTTAGAGTCTTCACCTGACCCTTTTGAACAGATGGAGAAAATTATAACTGACATTGAAGTTTCAAGTTCACTCCTTGTTTCTTCCTATGGAAGACAAAAATTCCAAATTCTGCTCCTCTAATCCTCAAGTGTTAATTGGCTTACAATTTAAACATAGGAGTCTGATTAATTTTTTTTGTAACTAAAAGCCAATTAGATATTTTAAAGTAGAACAATATTGTTTGAGTGGGATTTAGGATTGCAGGCGTCATTAGAGATAGTGGGGATAGGGATCTTAAAGGGACACTAGTGACCATAACAACTAATGTAGTTCTTCTGGTGAGTATAATCATTGCCTTCAGGCATTTTCATGCAAACACTGCCTTTTTCAGTGTTCTGCATGGGTACACTGCATTTTTCTCATAGAGATGCATTGATTCAATGCATCTGTATGAGGAGGTGCTGATTGGTCAAAACGGTGTTTGGCCCTGCCCCTTTATGATTTTAGCCAATATAATGCTTTCCCCATAGGAAAGCATTGGATTGGCTAAAATTCAGCAATTCTGATGTCACCCAGGGGGCGGGGCCAGTGCCAGCGCATCCGCATAGCGCTCAAAATAAGATGTCTTTCAGGCTTTTAAAGGGGGGAGGAGGGGGCAAGCCTTAATGATGGTTTTGCACTATATCGTCAGGAATACTTGTTTGTGTTCCTGACCCTATAGTGCTCCTTTAAAATTCCGGGTTGAATTTACCAGGTGGATTGGAACAACCAAATGAAGGTAACTCCTGTTGCAGTTCAGATATGGAGATTAAGCTGATTTTAACAGACAACTGAAATGTAGCCAAATTTTATGTGCAAATCTGTCTTAAATAGCCAAGTTTGCCTTTTATGAATTGCCAAATGGGGTAAAACAGCCAGCTGGTAACAACCAAATGACAGTGTAGTATTTGGCTGGATTTCAGTAGTCATTTGGCAATAAATGGACTGTGTTCTTCATTAAAGTTTAAATCGTAAGGAACTCAAAATGAATTCTTGTATAACTTTATTCATTGTCCAGGGGTCCAATCCAATAGTATGTTCTGTGGAGGTTATTGACTCTGGGGCCAATAGGAAATGAGTAAATAAACCTGTAAAAATAGAGATTCCCGTTTGGCTAAGTCTGTTATGATTTCAGATTTAGAGAAATGTGTCGATTCTGGCCTTAAATTTGGAATTTTTACTTAAGTAAATACTCGTGCAAGGTGCTGTTGGCAAGAGTCTTCAACATGAGAAATTGGATAGTAGTGAGTGCTCTGTATATTTGGAATAAGAATAGTGAATTCTGTAAAGAAAAAAGTGGCAATGTGAGCTGTATTTAAGATTTATGATAGAAAACTAAATAATGCAAAATTTCATAAATTTTTTACATGTACGTTTTTTTGACAATAAAAGTAAAAAAATCAATAAAAAATTGGCTGTTTTTCCCCCCTTCTTTCTTGCTGTCCCGTGTGCAATCTTCTGCTGCCATCTTGTGGTAAATAGTGTAAAAAGCATTTTGGCAAACTACTGGTTTCATCATTCCTAGTTGAGACCAGCATGCATGTTTGATATTATGCTATTTGAAATGGGATTTACACTAAAATTAGAAGTGAACATTAGTTAATTGCTTCCACACCTAAAGAAACATAATACAGGATAAACTTATAATAATTATAAAAAACAGATGCCAAATGGATATTTTTTTATTATATTTTTTTAGTTCTTTATTTTCTTGTGCATTATATTACATATAACAAGATATCTCGCCGTACCACAGAAGTAGTAGCAAGCATATTGAATACACATTGACATAGTAGTTGAGAAATCAGAATAATGCATTATGAGAATAAGCAGGCTAAATATGCTTCAGTATATTGCAATGCCTTGCATCGTGGCACTCTAGCATAACTTTTTACGAAATGAAATTATGAAAAACAAGGAAAAGAAAAACACTGTGCATATGCAACATAATAGAGGTATAGTTAAGAAGTAGGCAGTGTGTAATATGCACGTGGATTAACCCCTTAAGGACACATGACGTGTGACATGTCATTCCCTTTTATTTCAGAAGTTTGGTCCTTAAGGGGTTAAAGCTTAGACATGAGTAACTTTAATCACTTGTGGGTTAGTAATATGGTAACTAGGCCTACATGAGGAGAAGATAGTTAAAGGCAAGGCATGCATGTTAAAGAAGTCATTTTGACCTATAATAAGACAATCTTAGCTGGCTAAAAGAGGGGAAGTTCCACCGGGACTGCACCGCATAGGGTAGGAATGGCACAGTGCAATGCGTAATAAAAAAAAATAACTGTTACAGGGAAGCATATTCTACTCATGCAGTTAAACGGCACAAAACTAGAGCAAGATGTTGTTCACCGATACCATAAAGGGCTCAGAGCTTAGGTAATTAGCCCACTGTCATCAGAGAGTCTCCGACTCAGCCAATCCCCAGATTAGGGTAGCCCCTGGGGTACACGGAGAGGCAGGTGGTTTCTAATGTGGTTATGTTGGATCATGCATGAGTGTGAGGTTGTTTACGTGTAGCTGTGTTTGTGCTTGTTTCCCCACAATAGTTCCCTGAGTGGTATGTACCTTTGTCCGGTTGTTGAGGTCTAATGGGTGTAGGTGTGTGGGGTGAGCCTCGTTACAGCTGGGGGTTCATGGAAGCGTGTTTGGTGGGCCTGCCATGTTGTATGTGGTGCATCTCCACGAAGGGGCTTACTGTCCCAAAGTCTGCATGGCTGTCCTGCTGTCGAGATCTTCAGCCGATGCCTTGTGGGGTCGCTGTGGCTTCTTGGTGTGACAGGCTTTGTCTCGTGCTCTGTGTTCCGGGCGTGCAGTGGAGGGGAGCATCAGTGCGGGGTGCAGGTTTGCCTAGTAAGTAGCGTAGATTCATGGCTGTGAGTTGTGCAGATTTGCCCCTCTTGAATCCGATCCATGTCATTGCATTTCGGCGAGGCTGTCTGTGGAGCTGTACCTTGGGGGTCCTTTTGGTTTTAGGGGTTTTGTGCGGACTGTGGCTAGTCTTAGCATGGCTCCAGGTGGACGCTGTTGGGGCGAACCTTTTCTGGTGAGTGTTCGTCTTGAGTGTGGGGTATGGGGTGTTTGTCCCATCCCTTTCTTTGCCTTAACACGTCGGGCCCTGCAGCATGCCGCCAGATAAGGATTCCTTTTGCTGAGATTGCATTAAGGCCTCCAGATTCTCCCAGACTGCCCTGAATATGCGGTCATATCGGAGCTCAGTTTCCCTCCTGACCATGCACGTGGCTGTGGTGTGTGGGCCGGCCGCCATTTTGTGGGCTCCGCTTGTGTACTTTGGGGTAGGCGAAACATGCCATCCAGCTGTATTCCTTTTGCTTGCTTAGGGGGCAGCAGAGTTGCGAAGAGCCTGCGGAGGAGATGGGGCAGCTCAGCTGGGGTCACAGTATCAGAGAGACCTCGGATTCTAATGTGCTTCCATCTACGTTTATCCTCCATGGCTGCTAGTTGGTGGGTCAGTGTAGTGTGAGCCAAGGTAAGTTCTCTCACCTGTGTCTGGAGTTCTGTCACCTGAGCTGCGTGCATTTGGGTAATCTGCTCCACAGTCGTGAGGCGAGCGGCAAACCCTTTGACATCTTCCCTTACTTGGGAGATCTCTGCGGATAGTGTCTGGCGCAGGTCTGAGAGGAGAAAACTGAGTATCTCCGTGGTGACCGGGTGAACTTGTTGTAGAATTATTAGGCCTCTATAAATCTGTAAGGCCCCTTTAAATCCTCTTGCTATACCTCTAAGAGGCCCCATAGTTTTACAAGAAAGCTTTGTCTATAGAACATGTCAGCAAGAAATAGCTTTGATAAAATGTGTATTTACTAAAAGGCTTGAAACCTAACCTTGAGAAACTAACAGTGCCAGGCTACACTCTAAATGGATAGCTGCCAAAAGGCCCCTCCCGTCGAGTGAGCTCCTCATGTTAACAAAATGGCGCTAAAAACCTGGAGGAGACAATCATGACGAGGATAGTGACCTAAGATGGTACACCCCGTAGGGAGGGCATTTTACTAACTACTTAGCACCTAAGCCAATTAACAATGTCTATTTGTCTATATCTTGATTTTCTTCAATGATGTAATAATGCCTTTAAAAGGGCCTGCGAGCCTGCTTTTTATTCAGAAGCCATTAAACTTCTCCGAAGTTCTTTCATTAACCTGAACTCTGTGTCTCAGTGTGAATTTACTTCTGCGTGCACGCAACTTTATTATCTTTAATTTGGACAGGAACAGATAGTCATTCAAACTAATTGGTTTGCAGTAAATCATCTACTACAGCTGGCGCCCAACGTGGGGCTCTGGGTTATGTCCTGCCTGGGCAGCTGTCCAAGAAGATGCTGGGGGGATGAATCCTGGGGGAAGGAAAAGAGCCTGATCACCTCTGAATACACGGTAGAGACTGCTGCAGCACCTAGCCGGTATGTTCCTACCCCTGTGATTGACCTGTCCCAGTGTCTGTGACTGCTGCCGAGAGGACATCAAAGTCAGGTAATAACTTGCCCAGAGTCTTTGTATTGTTAATGATACTTAATTTACCTGCATGTTGACTATCTGTTGCCTGGGTGTGTTTGTATTGGTTTGTGTTCAACTTAGTACCCGGGGAGTGTGAGTGCCTGTTTACTCCTTTTAGGTACCACGTGGCTGTGGTAGTAAGGAAAAAGGGGGGTGGACCTGTGGAAGTTTTCCTGGGGGTCCTCTATTGCCTGTTTAACTCTTTTAGGAGCCACGTAGCTGTGGCTGTAAGGAAAAAGAGTAGGGGGAATCTGTGGAGGGTGGTGTAGACTCACTGCTTCCTGGGGGTTCCCCATAGTGTCGCTTTGACTGCTTAGCTAGCCTCATCGGACACTCCTTCTTGGTAAAATTCCAGCCTCGAGCGCTGAGGCAGGTAAGATTCCAATTCTTTAGGCTATACAGGATTCGGGTTGGAAGCTGTTGCTGTTTCCTGTGGCTGCTGGTAGTGAGACTTGCGGGTGGGTCCGCAACAGGGACACTACGAGGTTGAGGGAGGTGGCTTTTGGCCACACGAGTAAAGGCAAGGGATAAAACTGTTGAACTTATTTGAACTGTGATGCATGCACTGTATTTACACTGAAATGTTATTGTCTTAATTGTCTGTCACACAGATTCCTGTGTTTACTTTTACCTTACTCACTGTACTATTTACACTTTCCCCTCCTATTTCTCTTTCTCTTTGTTGAGAGAAGTGATTGGTCACACACTTCTCGCCACGCTCCAATTCCGCGGCTACCTCGGGTAGGCGGAATTAGTGACTAGTCTACGTTTTGGGAAGACGTACGTAGGAACCCACTCTTACGTAGCAGTCGAGCACTGTAGACCTTCTTTTCTCTCTTTCTCTATATCTGGGACGCCTTATATAGGGAGGATGGGACAGAAGTTAGATAAACCCAGTAAGAGTTGGTTAGCATGTGATCTAGTGGAAGACAGAGAAGGAGAAGAGATGGTTAAGAAAGTGAGGAAGATTGCTAAAGTATGTGGAATTACCGTACCTCCGTGCGGCAGATTGTAGCCAGAGAGCTGGCGTAAGTTACTGACGGAGAAGAAAGGGAAGCTGTCGGACCAAGATTTGGTTCGTACAGCAGAAGCCTGGTACCAAGTAGCAAGAGCTATTCAGCAAAAGGGATAGGTTGAGGAAGAAATTGATCACAAAGGTTTAAGATTGTTTGTGTATTATAATAATTGTGTTACTGGGAAGTCCTCCCAGCCAGCGCCCTATGATGGCGCCCAGGAGGTGACCACTCCCAACATCGCGTCAGCAATGACCGAAATGTAGCTGACCATGGTCCCCACCCTACCACCACCCCTGTTTGCCCAGTCCTGAATGCTGATGGATCCCTATTCTCCCCCCCCCATCAGTCCTACAGATCTCGTCACCCTCATCCTCTCTCTGCAGCTCCCTGCACCTCCAGTCCGTTTCTCCCGTCAAAGATTTCTGGTTTCCAAACGTATAAGT